CTATTATATGGTAGTGTGTTGTCTGTTAGACAGTCAGTAAACACTACAGTGACGTCGCATAAGGGACGCTTAGCGTTATAATTTGTACTGTCGCGACGTTCGTAAAACGTGCGCATGCCATGAATCACGAGAATATTTAGGCAATCTGTAAGCTACAACTAATCATGACATGTGAACTTCAAAAGTAAAGGATGAAAAATATTTGGTACTCTTTAATTTTTGTTTTATTCACTCTTGGAACCTAACACTTTCGGGGAACCTGCGGAAGTACATCTACTATATCCATTAGTAGCTATCATTAAGTAACCATGGAAAATATAAATATGATAAACTAAAGACTATTATCTCTGAAGCAAATACAATTATATTTTAAAGGATCACGCCTGAGCACGGTTCGTTTGTACGAACTGCAAAATACAGCATTTACCTTATAGCGATAGTAATGCGTCATAGTTTCTTGATGAAGTAAACAAAGAAAGTGATACACACTGACTGCGACTTAACATTTATTTTTACAAGCATCTTGTCATATTTTGTTTTGACCTTGTTTGAATGAGGAACTTTCATTATAATTAATAAATGTTGCAACTGAATTACGCATGTTAAGGTTTCTGCATGGTACTTTTTTTTATTGGAAACTTTATGGTATTGTATAAAAACGGCTCTTTTTGTGATATTTGCATTAAAATGTTTGCAATGATGACAAAGATGCTGGGAGTATTTATCTGACTATCCGGTGAGTATATCCCATTGGAGGAACTGTGTTATAGTATTTTGATTGGCTTTCACTTCGACATCGACCTCCTGATCGATGCGGCCGAGATCAATTGACTTGATTTTAAGTTCAGTTACTGAAAGGAAGTGTCATCTTTGTTTCTGAGCTATCAAGTGGTGTTTCTTGTTAAAATGTATGCATCCCTTTCCGAGATTATCAAAAAAGTTAGTACAAATAATACCAAAAGAGAATCACAATCCTTGTTTTAAAAGCTCCTAAGTGCTTTTCAGGTGACAAAATGTTTGTATGACATCTTTCGAGAATCATTAATACTTGGATACAGCTGAGTAGCAACAGAATTGCTGCAGAGGAACACACGAATATTCACTCCTGGGATGGCTAGGGTTGTATATTGTAATGCTAGAACATTAACTGTTTGTAGGACTGTGAGTGATAACTAGAAATTAACACTTCTGAAGGAGGAAAAGACATTGCGTTCCTTACCTCCAAAGCACCGAGGTGGCAATGTTTTTGGTGAACATTGGTAGAATGTTTTGAGCGAAACACCGTCTTATCTTGTAATCACAAAATTTAGTTTGCTTCAACACAAAAATGTAAACATACTTCAGTTGTGCAGTGATTGAGTCATGTTCTTTCTCAGTATAAAATATGGATTAGGAAGATATGAATCTAAGTGGAAAATTCCTCGGTTCACTGGATATCGACTGCATTTATTTTTTTCGTAATGCCAACCGTGATAAATAGATTAGATAAATAAATAAATAGTTAGATGCCACAAAAAATTTATCATTTTAGGAAAAATATGCAACAGCCCTCTCCGACGCAAAATATTCATACACTCAGATCATAAGAGTGCATTCACATTAGACACTTAGATTTTCCAAAAAAAGTATATTCTTTGTTCTTAATGACATGGCAAAACAAAGGAATATGGATCAATTTTGGAGGTACCACGATCATCCAAAAATAGACCTGAAATAAGTCAAAATGTGGCATCTTGTAACAGGTGAGAATCCACTTACAATGTCAGTGGCAAAACAATCTACATTCTCCATACAACAATTAAGAAGGATCTTTGTCTGAAAAGTGACACATGTCATGATATATTTGTTCACGTACCCCAAAAATTTGGAAAATGAAGCTGCTATACAAACTATTCCATACGAAGACTAACTGGTAAATCAACTGATGCAGTGTCTATAAAATTCTATGGAGTAAGACTACGGAAACATGGCTTATGGAAAAGTAAGAATATAGGTGGGGTGTGCTTTAGACAGGAAAGCCTTATGATGGAGCATTTTTATGATGGAAACTACGCTGTAAGGCTATTATCAAGACGCACAGTCGGCAGATTGAAGATAACTGGATTTGGTGACATGAAAAGTAATAAAGTAGTAAGACTCCAAAGTCGTTTTGATATAGCGTATTCAACATCTGTAGTAGTGAATATTTTCGATTGGATTGGATCAAAATATTAATTACTGGGTGAAAAAATATATTTGAATATTTTGTCAGTATTCATTGTTAACGAATATTTTCTCAGTATTTGGTTCAGTGCAAAATGCAATTGAAACATGTGATGGTTTAGAATATTTGTAAACAACCTCAGACAGAAAGTAATACCTATGTGGCATTGCTTCCAAGTAGCCCTGGCCTGTGATAAACTTCCTTCTTAAACGAAATCTAGTTGAATGAGATATCTGTGCTGACGGTTGGTAATTGTACAGCTTCTAGCCTGTTTCAGTTATTTGTAGAGGAACCGGTGCTTAGAATTTTAACATTTTCCTTCTCAGTTGGACCAGAGGTCTTATTGTAACAGCCAGACTGTAGGTGAATATGCCCACGTGTGAGAAAGACAGTTGTGTTGGCTGTTTTCATGGTAATAGTGTGTAGAACAACTATATGCTTATCAAATGAGGGACCCTAATGAAGCTTAATTATTAAAATGTTAAACAGCACATTACTACTCTAACAATATACATCGTCATGAGAGCACTGGTCATCACGCACAAAGAAGCTGTTACTCTCGAGGACTGACTTTGCATAGCATTTTTGACATATATATTTAATATGTTCTCGAGAGCAGTTTGATGCTTCCGGTAGTACAGTTCATATAGGCTAAAAGCCTTTGTCTGATTTCAAACAGCTTCTTTGAGTTAGCTCTGGATTTTTAAGTTTCTTCAAAAGAAATTGACTCCACAAATCCCTCTTGAAAGACAGCATTATAGTATTATTCTATAAAAAAAATTCTTATTACAAGAATAATTATGAATTAAACGGAAATTTAGCTGTGTGGTGGCCATATTAAATTTGCCCTGTTTACTCTAATACGAGGCTTATCCCAAGACGGAATTCTCTCATATTAAAACAACATATATTAGTATACATCCACGCCAAGTGACATAGTTGTATCACAACTGTATAGTTATGAACTAAACTGATATTTTACTGTGTGGTGGCCATGTTAAATTAGGCCTGTTTACTCTAATACGAGGCTTATTCCAAGATGGAACTCTCATATTAAAACAACATATATTAGTATACATCCACGCCAAGTGACAATTGTATCACAAAATGTCTAATAGACCTCAGATTTGTTTTTATCCCACTATCAGTGTAATATTTTGCTTCTAATTATCCCAAAATGTACAGTTTATCTTCGCGATATACTTCTTGGCTGTCCGTATAATTTTTATCTGAACAGGAAAAAAATATGTCTGAAAATACCACAGTGGTAAACATTCAGCTATATCAAAATTATACTTTTGAAATGGTTCAATTAAGAAATTGTTATTTTTTTCCCTTGCCTTTTAATAAATTTAAGATGAATAGAACAATAAATAGAACATTTTCCTAGAAGTTACCAGCTGTTTCAGAATCTCAAATTAACTATGATATAATACTATTATTACTGGACAGATTTCTAATTTAGTGTACTAGTTTTGGCTATACATTAAGTAGCTAACTTGTAATAATGCGTATTATTAGGTTGACTGAAAAAAGATTAGCAGGTTTTATGGCTATTTACATTAAGTAAAAGTTCTACAAACAGAAGTGGAATATCATTTTATTTTGTGAACGCTAAATTTGAATGATAAACTGTATACAAAAGTATTGAAAAATTTAATTACGGATTAAAGTTGTGTTCATTATAAGAAAACCTTTATGTAATACTACTGACTTGCACAAGTTTCAAGTTGAAGTTCTCAAATGTTTAATATGTCCATATTATTCAACTCTGAAAAAATTAAATACCTCAATTATTAGCCTCTGATATACGTTTGTTTGTTTGTTTTGAATTTCGTGCGAAGCTACACGAGGGCTATCTGCGTTAGCCGTCACTAATTTGGCAATGTAAGACTAGAGGGAAGACAGCTAGTCATCACCACCCACCGCCAACTCTTGGGCTACCCTTTTACCAACGAATAGTGGGATTCACCGTCACATTATAACGCCCTCACGGCTGAAAGGGCGAGCATGTTCGATGTGACGGGAGTTCGAATCCGTGACCCGCAGATTGCAAGCGAGCGCCCTAACGACTTGCTCAAGCCGGGCCCTGATATAAGTAACATGTAATTAAAATACATAAGAGAAAGATTTAGTTCAACTCCATGATTTGCTTTTAGACAATAAGTAAGTATGTTATAGTATGTATACACAAACCAGCACTCCAAATTATTTTACTATAAAAGTTAGTATAGGCAACATTAAAGAAACTATAAAAATGTGTTGTGAATTTTAGTATGAAAAATCTAAAGATAAAAATATTTTAAGAACTCACAAACTAAAACAACAGAAGTTTTGTAAAGTCATAACCAACATTTTCTTTGGATTTCTGTTGAAAATAATGTATAAAATTACTAAGCTTGTTTCATAACATAGTATTTGATGTGTAGTATAACCTAAAATTGAATAGTTATTACTTATATATATATATCATGTACTTATTCTCATTTCTATCCGCTAATTGAAAAACTAAACATGTTTTAATTATTCGTTATTTGAATTCAGAATAAGCGTTATTCCTTTTATACTAATGTGTAACACCTGAATGAATATTATAATACTTGTATTGACTTTTAAAAGTTATATTTAATAAATAACACATTGACCTTACCAGTTGCTTTTTTATGTGTGTATTTGTTGTTATGAGTTTTTCTGTGTGGTGGCGCCACTATAGCAGGAATGTCATTCGACCGAGCACATGAGAACAAGGTACTCTTGCTAGTATATGCTGTGCTTGGCTCGTAAACCATATCTGTTTAGTTTCTAACTCACTTTAAAAAATAAAAAAGGAAAAAGAAAAAAGGATTTATGTGAAATTTGTTAATGAACTCAAACTTGAACTAATGCACTTACCCGCAGGTTTACCTGGCTTATCAGCCAACAAGATGACTGACTTTCGTTTGCTTGGAGAGCAGGCTCTTCACGATGCACTTAATGAACACCCGGGCGAATTAGTTCATACGGGCAGCCCAAACCTGCTTTGCTCGGTTTTACCTTCACATTGGCGGTCTAACAAGACTCTACCTGCGGCGTTTAAAGTAGTAGCTCTAGCCGATGTAACCGACGGGACGGTGGTGACCCTCCGAGCAGGAAACGATGAGAACTTTTGCGCGGAACTTAGGAACTGTTCTGCAGTCATGAAAAACCGCGTGGCCAAATTTAACGACTTACGATTTGTTGGAAGAAGTGGAAGAGGTAAAAAAAAAGTTTTCATCTGTTAAGGTTTGGCTACTTTCTTCTTCATTAACATCATATATACATTTTTAAAAAATATAATAAATAACTAATTTTTTTTTTTTTATATTTACACAATAAAAACTTTATATAAGCTGTACGGCTTCCACTTTAAAATAGAAATATCACTCTACACGTACATGTTTCGACGTGAACTACGTCATCTTCAGGAGTAACTTACAAGACTATTTTATACTTTCCCCTTGTCGCATTACTTCATTGTTATTTGCATATTTCCTTAGTGTAATTGAAAATAATAAAATATATATATAACATATCTCGCCATATATCAATGTATTGACTTGCTGGTCCTTCATCTCTGTTTAGTACTTG